ATAATACTGTTTGATTTCTTGCCATCTTACAGTTATTTTATTTGCCAATCTCTAACCCATTATCTGCTGCAAACATGAACCTAAATAGTTAAAATTTCCATTTTTTAAACTCATCCGAAATCTAATTCCCTATCTTTCCTCTAAAGACCCAAATCTGAATTCACAACAATTAGATTCCAGCTTTTTCGGTGTTACCGAATCTACAATACAAACGCCATTTTTTTTCACAAAATCCAGAGGCCATTTTTGTATCGCTGGTATTTCCTTAAAAATAATACACGGAATTTTGCCCAGTTTTAGAAGAAATAACGGAAGAAGAAGCTGAGGAACGGCAGAATAATTGAGGGAAGAGGAAAAGACAGAAACACGTTATTTCAATAAAGGAAACAAAACTAAAATGAAATATTTGGAAATCGACATTAGCCAACTAACAAGAAATTACTATATAAAAAAGCCATTTTAAACCAATTCGTATTACGGGTAACTAACTTCATTAAACATAAGTATTATATACGAGATTACGCGAATATTTTCGTGCGTTTTCTTAAGGGAATTTTATTTCCTTAAGATTAAGAAAACGCAACATACCATATGACAACACTTTATGCATAAAGTTTTCTCTCACAGTAGATTTGAACTTCGCCATAATACTTCGACTTTGTTGTCCACTACCGTCAATGTCGAACGCAAAGCTGTTGTGTTCTTAACACAGCTTCAAGATTACGGTACCACAAAAATCGTTGATATTTTTTAGCCCACCAGTGGCCAAGCGGTCTTCGTTCCCTGAACACTGGGAGTTCGGTCGTGGGTTCGATCCTCGCTCGGGCAGGCTGGTCACGTGGAGTTTTCCGAGTTTTATCCACGTCTGTAACGCCTAAATAAGGGCCAGTTTCCCTTAAAAAGACCTCCCGGAAGGCGTCCCCCTAGACAGATCGCCCAAGTGTTACGTTGCCATAACTAAACAAACTTTGATATTTTTCGTGATGGAAACAAAACAGCACTCCTCCAATTCTTCGGCAATATCTAGTACTCAAAATCTTATTGAAACAATTAAATAAAATCAAAAATCCATAACTGACCTTCCAAAATTCCGTAGGAGGCATAGACACTGGGTACAGTACAACTTTCATTTTACTTAATACGTATCTGAACTGACATTCCAATATATCTACATCCAAAATGTCATCCCATCAAGATAAACACTCATTAAACCGTTACATACACGATATAAGGGTATACAGAGCCTTAAACAGAAGTAAAGCCCGCCCCATATTTGGGAGGTCTGCTGGTGAGGAAACGAGGCCCGACGCATTCGGAACAGACTATTCCAGAAAAATTCCTGGAATATTTAGACTGGCGTTAACATTACTTTAGAATAAATAAAAATACTGGATGTCTGTAAATTTCGTTTTTATAATTTAATTAAATAGAAAAAACGGGATTATTTTAACCATTCAAGTGAAATGTTTCAAAAGGATTAGTCTTATGACGTAATGCGTGACGTATTTGTCGGAACGTAATTGTTCGAATTTTCTATTGTCGGTCGCATCTTTGAGTGGAATTTTTTCGTTTTTTTCCTCCTTTTTATGAGATTTTCGGAAAGAATTTTCAATATAAATAAACTTCGGTAAGTAAACAATAATTTTTGATTTACAGGAAATCAAAATGGAATTATTCACGATAAAATGTTAAATTCAACGAGCTAAAACAGGCGGATCTATATACGGACTAATAGGGTTTAAGCTCTGGCCCCCAAGTGTCAAGGGCCAACAAAAATTGAATTATTATCATAAATTTTTAATACTTTTTCGTTAATAACAATGATCACTTATCGTATAGTAAAAAATCGTTAATAGGTTAGTTTATGTTTGGTAAAAATGAGGCCCCATTGTACCCCATAAGCCGTAGGCCCAGAAAAACCTATGTCCGCCCTTGAGCTAGAACATACTATATATACTAGATAAAGTGGCAGTGACGACTTAGAATATTCCAGTTCGTTGTAGGCCCACTAGTGGTAAAGCGGTTCCGTTCCCTGAACACGGTCGCGGGTTCGCGCCTGGCCACGGTTTTCTCTACGTCCGTAACACCCGAATATGGGCCAGTTACCCTTAAAAAGAGTTCCCGGACAACATCTCCCTAAGCAGATCGCCCAAGTGTTACATTGCCATAACTTAACAACCAGTTCGTTGTATTTACGCAACACAAATGCCAAACTCTCTCGACCAAAAGGAAAATGGCGGACGTGTATTCAATTTTCCTCAAACATGGCGTTTCTTCAGCCACTGTATGTAGTACTGTATAATCTAGCTCCTTGGTTCAATTGATACAAGTTCACAGTCATTGTACTATTTGAGTATTCGTCTCACTATTTGTGGTTAACGGAATTTACTTTTCTTTTATCAATTAACGCTATTTATACTTTATAAACAGAGCCGGCCCTACCGTAGAGCGAACGGAGCAGCCGCTCCAGGCGCTAAGCCCTAGGGAGCGCCTCAGTATCCCCGCGTTTCTTTATGCAGCGAGAGTGTAGCGAAATGACGTCACGAGCAGTGTCGGCCAATTAGAAACCAGTTTCAGTCTGTTCGCTGTAAAGCGCTTCTCGAGCGCTGCATAAAGAAACGCGGGGTATGTGAATGGCCATCTGTTGAGATGCGCGTGGGTCGAGTGCGTGGGCGGGGTTCCATCCCCGCCTAGGTTACATCACCAGAGTTGCCACCGCAGGCGCCGCTGTTTTACACATCTGAACATGTATTAATATTTTATATTTAAATTAAATTAGCTTTAACTTCTATTAATTTAAAGTAAAGTACTCGCTGTATAGACTTTTAACAATCCATTTCATTAGTATAGAAAGTACCGTTAATAAAACTATATTGGATATTTTAAACTTCAACTTAAGGTTATTTAATATTATAGAATAAATCTATATTTTTATTTTACATTCCTTCTATTATCTCGAGTTTCTATACAATAATAATAATGAAATAACATTCTTCAATTTTTCGTCCTTAAACAAAGAAACTGAAAATTCAGAATTTCTCAACTTAACTACACTGTAGAAACAAAAATCAGTTCCAAACTAATACAACTAACTTACATTATTATTACTCTATAAACAAATTAAAAATATTTTATCAAATTATAACCATTTTTCCCATTTTTTAAATTATGATTTACATATTTATTTATGCAATTGTACGACCACAAAAAATGCGACATATAAAAGAAAAAGCCGAAATCGAAACATGGAATACAAATAAAAGTATATTTCCTCTTTATAAAAAACTTCCTTCTACGTACAGATTCACCATACACAATAACTCCATGTCAATCGTATTCATAAAAATATCCGAACCCCGCGATGGGCCGAAAGTCACAATATTCGACGCAGTCCGATGTCTGTCGTCTTGTAGATTGATTAAAAAGCCCGCGTTGACCGGAA